TATTTGTTCCATTTGCTGTAGACAATATCGGTCGGTAACCATGTTTTCCTAAATATATTTTGCAGTTTGTGTGTAATTTTACATAAAAAACAGTAGTTAACTACACTATTTTGGATTGATAGTTCTTATTAATTCAAGCAATCAATTACATCATATATCATATTTTTAGAAAGTAAATTACAAAGGTGCCAAACGTTGTTAAAATACGACAACATAAGCTAAAATATAGTGATGTCGTTTTACCAGTTAATTTATCTCCAACCCAAGGTTTTCATCGTCAATCGTCATCTTACTTCTATCAACCCGATAATTACTTCCTTATTACAATTAGCTGTAATTTTAGTTGTCCATTTAAGTAAACTTAATATATATATATATCGAGTATATATATATATATATATATATATATATATATATATATATATAATTTTGAACCTAAGTTTTTATCAAAAAATAGCACATATTATTTCGAAATATATTGGTGGTTACCGGTTACCGGTAAATCACTAAACAAGTCTACATCCCTAGCTGTGATACCATTATATACTACAGTTTGCTTAAACGCACAGATTAGTATTTTCAACAACTTGTTATTTACAATAAGAAAAAAGTATTTACCGCCTTTTTATTTGCAATTAGTTTAGATACTATTTGTAAGTAAATATTTTTTTATTATAAATATAATTAGGTGGTTTTATTTTTTTTTGAATGACCGTTAACATTGATCAAAAGTCTAAAATGTACAAATTTTCTTAGTCTGTAAACACAGTTATTCCTTTTCTTTCTTTTCAGAAAGAGACGGTCTGTTAAGATTCGTTGTGAATCCATTGTTGTTACCTTTTATGTAATATAAAAATGCGTTTGTAATATTTATTTATTGAAATATGTTTGACTAATGAGTGAATTGGGTTTCTTGTAGTAATAATACGACGTAACCGCTTGTATGTGTGCTTCCAGCGACTCCGGTTTTGGTATAAAATATGGTTGGCCGCCATTCTATTGTGTATTCTATGTTCCATCATTATACGTATGTCTATGCCTTGAAATAACAGACAGGATACTTATCCCTGCAAATACACGGTTCCTGTTGAAAAGCTATATATAATTTAGAATAATTCTACGAGTATAATTCTCTTTTCATACTAAAATAGCCGAACAGATTATTATGAAATTCGGTTCTCCTACCTAGAACCTACTAGTATCTACTAAAAAAATATTTTATAAAAAAAAAGGAACTTTATGTTCAGAAAAAAATAGCTTGTCCCACAGGGACTTTTAGGACAGGGATTTAATAAATTGGCTAATTTGGTTTGTTCTCACCGTGGCGAAGGGAATAATTGTCAAGCAATGTTGTTAGGGAGCTAAGCCATAACGCCGAGAATTTAGAACAATAAAGCTTTAACTGTAGCTTCCTCGGGCCAGTGGATATACTGCACAGTATTCAAATGTATCAGCGACAGTAGCGGCTGCGACGCTTTCTTGTAGAAATGGAACACGCACGCGGTAGATGACTTAAACTGTATCCTGTGGGACATCCGCAGCAACCATGCTCTGGTTGAGACTGCAACACCGCCTGGGTTGTGTTTTGTTTCCAGCTAACTTTAGACATACACATTCAGTTACTGAGAGGCACACCAACGGTTGAAATATACGTATGTTTAAATCCGTCGCTATTGTTGTCCTGAATGGAAAAACTATTAGAGCTGCATCTTTATAATGACCAAAATTAAGATGCCTATGTAACCTGCAATAAATCGGAGAGGATCGATTGGTAACGGGCGCAGATTGCAAAGTGCATTCTTTACATAAATTGAGGCAAACTGTGGCGATTTAGGACGAACTTATTGTACATGTTTTCTAAATTTAAGGAATAATATTCAAAATCAAGATTGGTTATTTGCAGTGCAGAGTGAAGTGCTTCGTCAAAATATTAATCTATTAACAAAATAATATTAGACTTGGTAGTTGGCAAGTCAAAGATTTACTCAACGGTAAATAATAATATATACTGTTGACACTGGAGTCAATAGCAACAACCTATGTAGTCAAATTTTTCAACTACTTGAATTTAGCAGGTGTGCATTCGCACAAGTTGTAGTTGTAGTTTGACTCCCCAATTCTACAAAATATGCGTAACCATGGTGTACTAAGATTGTGTAACGGTATCTGGCTGCGCATCACACAGCTGGAGAGAAATATTATTATAAAGGCGACTATTCTGACTGAAGCAGATGAAGGCGAGTGTTGATTTCCGCTATTCCTAAAATTACCAATTCTATTCGTAAGGCTACATTTCTATTAAAGTTCTCATCTTAATGTAATTTTTATTAGTGTTAAAACAATCTTAAAACCAGATTTTTTTATAATATTGTAGGACAAATAATCTATGATATCTGGTTACTTTAGCCTATAGATAACTGCAACCAATTTCAGACAAAGCCGCTCTTGAGTAGATGGAATGCATCAAAGTTACTACCTGTAATTATATTAGGTTTGTTATATTTACAGCCTTAACACATCAGTAGGTGATAGCAGAAAAAGGTAAGATATAAACGGATTTGATACTCGTAAAAACGAAAAATTGATAAATTGATAAAATAAGTGGTCTTGAATAGCATAGGTCTAAATTACGCTACATTATTAGACCCTATCCAGATAAAGCAGGGGCGGGTTGTGTCCTAAAAATAAAGGAGGATGTAGCATTTAAAATGCAAATCGCATTTAATATATTTAGTAAAACTACGGTTAAACAATAGTTTGCTTAGAGTAGCCACGTGATGATAAATAATTCAAACATTGGTTGGTTACCTTTTTTATTGTAAGTGTTCCCAAGGGAATGTTAACTGGAGTCAGTCACGTCGGGGTTTGCAAGGGGTGTTTTTACGATAATCGTCTTAGTGAAGTTAATACAAGCTGCGCACACGAAAACTCGGCTAGCATTACCATACACTGAAAATTTTCATGGATGATCCGAAATTGTGTAACTATGTATTTTAGTAGGGCATTAGTACTATTTTAAAAATACAATTTTATTAAAAACCATTTAATTAAGTATTATAATCAAGTATACGTGGTTTTGTAAACACGTAGACATATATAAAGAGTGAACTGTATTTTTTGTACGTGGTAGAGCCACGCTTAAACTATGTTATGGTTGAAGCACTGTGTTTCATATGGTGAATGTAAACAACGGGAGACCCTCTTCTCTGCAAACATGTCAATCGATCTAGTCCTCAGGGACGACAACGCTTAATTTTATCGAAGATAGATGTAGGTGGGCTATCAGACTGTGGACTGTGTGCTCGTTTATCACACTTATCATATTATCATATTATATAAAAAATATGCACCGAATGATACTGGACGAAAATAAAAACACCTTTGTACTTGAATTTAATGTAACCAAAAAGTGAAAGATAAAAACTAATATATATATATATATATATATATATATATATATATATATCTGATAAACGTTGCTTTTAAGTCCCTTTCTTGATTGCCTGCCTGGCCGGAACGACAGACAGACAACTGTCTGCCGTTCCGGGTGGAATCTTGCAACTCAAATTCCGAGCACTTCCCGATTAGCTAGAGACTTAAAATTTTGAACATAGCGCAGAATCGGATGATAATGTAGGGACATGGAAAAAAAACGTCGTCTAATAATTTTTTTGTACCAAATAAAAAAATCACTTGTTATCTTTAGTTTTTTTTATAGGTTAGGGTGACGAACGAGCACACAGTCCACCTGATGGTAAGTGGTTGCTGTGGGCCATATCCTCGTTTGCGAATCAAAATGCAGATGCGTTGTCACCCGTGAGGACTAAGATGGAATACCTCTTTTCCAGTAAAAAGAGTCTCCGGTTTTCTACACTCAGCATACGAAACACATCAGTGTTAAACTGCTATTTTACGCTGGTATTCTGTGAGAGCATGGTCCTTCCCCGGTCGAGCCGACCCATTCGTGCTACAACTATACTATACAACTAATATAGCTGCAGCATGGGTCTGCCACGTATTAGTCTATTATTTATTAAGTCACTTTCTTCTTTGTCTATGACAATGCAAGAGTACGATAAAAAATCGTGGTAAAATTAAAAAATATCACTGTTTATTGTTGCATAGGTGATTTGCAAGTTTATTTTATCGTCTAATAAAAACCAAAACAATAATACTCCCGATGCGTTCAGAATTTTATTTTTTTCCCCATTTCATTTCTTTCTTCTTTCATTTTCAGCGTGCAACACAGCTGTTGGCATATGTTGTTATATCTGAGAATAGGACATAGGACGCTATCTCGTTGTCAACAATAGTTTCCGATTTTTGAAATTACTTGCTTTATTCTACTATTTTATGGAAACACTATTGTTGTACTCCGCAAGTATCAGTGTTAAAATAAAAAAAATACTTTCAAAAGAATTACGTACAAGCTATATTGAATAAAAAAAAATCTATTCCATTCTATGGATCTTTAGTTAGCCGAGTTAACCCGTCAACCCGCACATGGCTTTTTAGTTACTTTAGATCAAGTCTCATTTAAAAGCTATCTATTTGTTTAGCAATAAACTTGCCCGTGATAAATATTCTTTAGCAAACATTCATGTACTCGTAGTTACGCTTTTTACAGAGCGTGTTACGAATGCGCGGTAATAAATCACTTCGGTTACCTCCGTTTGATGTCTGCAAGATGCCGTCGAATTGGCGAAACAGTGTTGGGCGGGCGGGCGTGTAGTGTAGTCGACGCCACGTCCACCCGATTCCATTGTAAACGTATCAAAGAGCGGGAATTTTGTAACGTTGCTACGCTAAGCTTTACGTTTGCCTTACACTCAATCCCCTTCCGTAAAAGTGTCTTTTAATCAAAAATGGGAAATAGATAAATCAACGTCGTACGTGTAACGTGTAACGTATAAATACATTTTTAACTTATATGTATAAAATTATTGTGAAGATTGTTTTTGATTATTAAAAATGTTATATTTTTTTTAGATTGTTTTACAATGGAAGAAGAAATTGACGAGCATTTTATTTATAGACTAAATGATAATGGTTCGGGACCTAGTCTTCTAATAAAGGTTCGTGCTTTTTTAATATAATATACACAAGTGAAATCTTTTAATTTTTGTTTTTAATTTTTTACCAATATTTTTATCATATTCTTGCATTGTCATCTGAATTTGAGCTATATTCAAAATTTCAAGTTTCCAGCTCATCGTCGGCAAGTTAGTTTAAAATCAATTACTATATTCCACCCGGAACGACAGACAAAGAAGAAAGTACTTAATAAAATCGTGGTAATAAGAATTATTAAAAATACATTATGATGAAATAAGTGAAGTTACAACCTATATATTTCCCACTGCTGGGCACTGGCCTCTTCTGAGAGTGTTATGTAGCATCTAGGTAGAGGGTTAAGAACAAGGTGTCCACTTGGCTAATAAGGCTGATCAACGTTATTAAAAAAAATACTTTAGACAACTTTATTAATAACTTATAAAACAACATAATATAGTGTTTACCCGTAAATAATTAAGATCTTTAGGATATTTAATTTACAGTCAGGGTGAATTAAAATTAGTATGTGGAAGAGACCCTCTGCGGCACAAATGGTTTGGCTCGACCGGGGAAAACCCACGCTCGCACTGTTCCGCACACCATATCTATGTAAAACTGCAGCGTAAGTGTTTCGTAAGGTGATAGTTCATATTTATTTTGATTCTTAATCGAGGATAGATGTAGTTATCTGTTGACCACGGCATCTATTCTCTGTCAGGCTTGCTATTCTTCTGCATTTTGGTGGACTTAGACTTAACTATTCTGGCAAACAAAAATTTAATGCTCAAAATTTCACGGTTCATTAAAATTAGATTTTTAATTCGTACCAAAAAAATAAAAAAAGAGAAATACATAAAAATAATTTATATGAAGGAAATAAATAAACTATTTAATTTAGCTATTTTTATTTTTTTATTATAAGTTATATTAGCGATCCGCCCCGGTTTCGCAGGGGTGATATCTGTATCTAGACAACAGCGCCACCTACCAATCCAATTGTAAATCTAACCGATTCTCGAATTAACTCAAGCATCATCATCATTACAGCCCGTCACAAGTCCACTGCTTAACAAAGGCCTCCCCCAAGGAATGTCACAAAGCACGGTCCCGAGCCACCTGCATCCATCGACTTCCTGCATGTCTTACCAGGTCGTCACTCCATTTAGTAGGGAGAAGTGTAGGCACTTCGCCTGCTAGTACGGAGCTGCTACTCAAAAACCTTACTTCCCCATCGGTTGTCGGTTCTTCGAGCTATATGGCCGGCCCATTGCCACTTCAGCATACTAATTCTTTGGGCTATGTCGGTTACTCTGGTTCTACTGCGGATATCCTCATTTTTAAGTCTATCACGCAGAGAAACGCCGAGCATAGCCCTCTCCATAGCTCGCTGAGCGACTTTGAGCTTCCTCATACGGCCAGCGGTGAAGGACTACGTCTCAGTTGCATAGGTAACTGGTAGCACGAACTAGTAAAGCAATCTAGTTTTGAGGTTTTGATGTATGTCTAACGATAAGATGAGTCGTAATCACCCGAACGCTGCCCAGCTGAATTAAATCCCTCGATTGACCTCTCCGTCGAAGTTGGACTTACCTAGTCGGACTATTTGTCCCAGATAAACATATTCGTCAACAACTTCGAGCTTAGTGCTCCCAACAACTACCAGTACAAGTGTGACATGGACGTTAAACATGATTTTTGTTTTGTCCATGTTCATCTTAAGACCTATCCGTTGGGAGACACTATTAAGGTTATTGAGCATAGTGCTTAGGTCCTCCAGTGATTCTGCCATAAGGACTACATCGTCGGCAAATCGAAGGTGAGTGATGTACCCGCCATTGATGTTAATACCTTATCCTTTCCAGTCCAGCAGCTTGAAAACTTCTTCCAATGCAGCGGTGAAAAGTTTCGGGGATGTAACGTCACCCTGTTTTACACCTCTCTGCAGTTGGATAGGTTTCGTACTCTGGTTCTGTACTCGGATAGCCATCGTAGCTCTACTGTACAAACACTTCAGCACTTCGATATACCGACAGTCAACTTGGCACCGCTGAAGGGATTGCAGCACCGCCCAAATTTCGACGGAATCAAAGGCTTTCTCATAATCCACATACGCCAGACATAGTGGCAAATTGTACTCTTCGGACTTCTGTACGATTTGCCGAAGGGTATGTATGTGGTCTATGGTGCTAAAGCCCTTTCGGAAACCGGCTTGTTCGGGAGGCTGGAAGTCGTCAAGTCTGCGCGCGAGACGATTCGTAATGACTCTCGAAAACAGCACGTAGACGCGGCCCACAAGGTAAATCGGTCTCTAGTTCTTCAAGAGAGCGTTGTCAGCTTGACCTGTACAGCAGCTCATAGAACTTATCAATCTCACACAAATTCTCAGGTGTCTCGGAAACAATGCTGCCACATTCGGTCTTCAGCTTTTACAGTTGGCACTTTCTGTCAGACAGATCTCTAGCAAAGACTTTGGAGCCCTGATCCGTTCAATAGCTTCTTCAATACAAGCACTATTAAAGTTACGTATCTCCCGCCGCATGCATTTGGAGATCTGTCTGTTCAGTTACCTGTATGCTATCAAATCTACTGAAGACTGCAGCTTTATTTTCCGTTTAACAGTCATGATATTAAGAGTGTGATCGGAGAGTTTTTGTGTTCTTCCGCGGCGGGTCTTGCAGAACTTAGCTCTGACCGCATGTTTCCACGAGCTTGTCATTTATATCTTCCACTGCTTTGCAATCTTCTAGCCACTGAAATCGATTATGTAACTCGAGCGGAAAGGTTTCGGGACTTTGGAATAGAGCACGAGGGGGACGGTGCGTTGACTTCTTTAGACGACACCTCTCCAACTTAATGTTTAGGTTCAGTGTGCCTCAAACCATTCGGTGATCGCTACCAGTTTTCACCCTCGCGATCACTAAGACATCACTGAACAGTTGTCGTCTGGTCGTCATAATGAAGTCAATCTCATTTTTGTGAGACCGTCGAGGCTCGACCAGCTTTACTTCCTGTGAGGTCGCTTCTGAAAAAAAGAGTTCATCATAAAGAGTCCCTCTTTCTCCATGAAGTCGGCCAGCTGCTGGTCTTGGGTTCCAGTGCCCTATTCCGAATATCCCTACTTTCAGCTCACCGTTCTCTCTTGTGCCTAGTTTTGTGTTAGTCTCCTATTAACACCGTATAATGGGTTTTGGAGAAATATATGGCTCTAGAGATATCCTCATACATTTGTTCCACCTTCTCATCGGGATGTGCCGAGGTTGGTGCGTAAACCTGTATGACCTTCAGCGAATACCGTTTGATGATGCTGAGTATAAGGTTCGCAACCCTCGTCGACACACTCCCAATCTTTACAACGTTGTTAACGAGAGACTTGTGGACAATAAATCTGACATCTCCTTAGGACAGATGTCCTCCCGGTGATAGATCAAGTTGCCGGATTCGAGGTTTACCGTGTCCTCCCCCTCTCTTCGGACTTCGGAAAATCCTATAATATTCCAGCGCAACTTGCCTATCTCTTCTACTAGCTCCAGGATCTTCTCGTCAGTCGTCAGGGTGCGTGCGTTACAAATTGCCAGGTCGAGTCGTCGTAGGTGGCAACAGAACCTCTACCGGAGATTCTTAGCACCCCCTGCCCCGCCGTTACCATGGTCGCCACCGTAACCAGGAATAGCGGTTTATTAGTGTCATTGCTCATGGGGGGTATATTGCCATAGTAGCCACGCTTGGCGAGCGGGTTGGCAATTGCAGTTTTTTCATAGCTTTTTACTGTTATGAGAAAGATGCTGCTGCCCATCTTCTGCCTCAGTTTCCCTTTGTCGCCTTTTACGACACCCATTTCATCATAATCGGTCAAGCCAGGAGGCGTTAAGTCACTAAAACATGGACATAAGAATTATATAGGTAGGAATTATATAAGTAGCGATCCGCTTCGGCTTCGCACGGTTGATTTCTGGATCTCGACAACAACGCCACCTAACAGCTCCAATTGTTAATCTATGCCAATACTTCTTGCCAATTCTCTAATCACACACACAAAATTTCATCGAAATCGGTTCAGCCGTTTAGTAGGAGTCTAGTTACACACATACATATATAATATTATACATATAAACATTCCTCTGAAATTATCCGTTCTATTAATGAAAACTTCATCGGATTTTCTGTTACGTAGTTTAAAAGATCTAAGCGTACAGAGGGCGTGAATCGACTTTGTTTTATACTTTGTAGAGAAGATAACCATACAATACGTTTAGTAACTGTAAAATTATTCGAAAAAAAAAGAAGTCAACTCCGCAGTGATAATATATCAACAAATTATTTCATTAAATAGTTCATTCTAAATACATAAATTATATATGTTATTTATATTAACTCATTAGTACCTTTAATTTTACCATACATTTTTGCTTATTATTTGGGATTTCAATTTTTAAGTTCATGGCCTCTATATTTATTTTACGCTTAGGTCATAGTCTAAGTTACTCGTACAATTATGACCAATTTACTTGTCAAAATCCGACTAGTTTAGGAGTTAAGACATATTATGCATACCAGCCAAAAATGTTTCTCACCCTTCCTTTTAACTCGACCGTTGTCGGATAGTAAGTTATGTACGGCTGCTTTACTGGTCAAAAAACCTTCTGTCTAAATATTGTCTACAAATAAACAAGTTACAGTAATTCAATAATAATTAGGTTTGCGCTGAACGCGGATGGCGTATGTACCAAGGCTATAACGGCGGCGAAGATAGGTGGAACCTCTGGTGGAGGACGAGCGCCTTCCCGGCTGCGTGCTACAAGGCTCTTGGGGACTGGCAGGTACGAGACATTGAAATTAGTATTAGCGTGGTAGGATGGCAGGTCGAGGCTACATTTACTTCACCATAATAATTTAATAGATAAATTATACTGCACTGCTCATATCTATATTTAAAAAAAATTGATTTCGCTAATGACTTCTGCTTGATGTTCTGCTGTGCAAAAAGTGCTTGAAAACCATTTAAGTACAAAATAAAATGTTGTTTCAGAACTTACGTCAATGTAGGATTGTTTTTATAAACTACATATATAAATAATATATAAGTAATACTATATTCTAGGACCTTCCCATAATAAGGGGCCGAATGGAGAGCCGTGGTAGCTCAGGGGCTAAACATTCCAATGAAATTGTTAATTGCAATTTTAAGTGCTGATTTTACCACGTGGTCGGGGAACTCTGGGCTACAATGATCGCAAAAAAGATTGCATTCATTAATACCATACCAGCAATATTTGACGTGGTACAATAATTGTAGCTGGTACTCTGCATTTTTTGTCTCTAGTCCCTGTAAAAATGCTTTACATGCATAGTTAAATCAACATCCAGAACTGGACAATTTTCGGACCATACAAAAATTTGTTCCGTGCACAAGATAGACTCACGGTCCGTAACACAGCAGCCTAATATTGGGCCATCATTTTGTGTTGTGTAACTTACGGCAAACGTGAGAGAAACTTTTTATGAACGCTAGTTACTAATAAATAGCTTAACCGCCACCACGGAAGTATTTCAATAGAGGAATTTCAATTTTTAATTTTGACGACGCATCTTGATTTTTAAATGAGGATAGATGTAGATATCTGTGTGCCACAGAAGGCACTTACAATCAGGTGGACTGTGTGCTCGTTTGTCACCTTTATTCTATAAAAAATAGAGCACATACCACGCTAACGGTGATAAATTCGTGTCATGCATCGGTATAAGTATCACTCGTTTAGGGACGTATAATTCGCGCTCTTTCGATAGTAACCCTATCATTGGTTGACTGCTCCGTCGGGCTATAAGACGTAAGTGCAAATACTAATCTTGAGGTCTCTGGTCGTGTCGGTCAAAATCAGTTATGAGTTTTCTGTTAATAAATGCTCAATAGCAGCCCGGAATCAGGAAGAAGCCGGTGTTTTGCCACTGTGCCTCGGAAAGTGCGTAAAGCCGCTGGTCTTGTGCCTGATTTCACTCCGGTCATGTCAGATTGACGTCTTGTGAGACGAGAATGAGGAAACAGAGAGTGCACACCTGTGCCCACACACGCATTCGTGGCTCTGTAATCCCATCTTGCGTAGATGAGACTGGTCGCCGTGACCAGAATTCAGTATCTTTTTTCTACCGACTTCCAAATGGAGGAGGTACTCAATTAGACTGTATGTTTTATATATATATATATATATATATATATATATATATATATATATATATATATATATATATATATAAGTAAATTAAAGTAAAGTTGCAGCCTATTTAGGTCCCACCGCTGGGCAAAGGCCTCCTCTTATTTCGGAGAGGGATTTAGGGCAAGGAAATGTCCGCCGCGCTGCCCCAATGCGTGTTGGCGAACTTCACATGTCTTCGAAATATTTTTTTTCTATTTTTCTCAGACATGCAGGTTTCCTCACGATGTTTTCCTTCACCGCCGAGCACGTGGTAAATCAGCACTTAAAATTGCAATTAACAATTTCATTGGTGCCGGCGGGGATTGAACCCGGGTTGCTAGAGTACTGCGAAGCTTACAGCGAGCGCTAACCATCTGAGCTACCGCAGCTCTATTATATATGTGTGTGTGTGTGTTACCTCATAACTTATTTCCGGGAGAACCGATTTTAATGATTGTTTTTTTTATTTGAAAGCTGGTGCTTCTCATATGGTCCCATATAGATTTGATCAAGGTCTGACCAATAGTTTTTGAGTAATTTTAATAATTTTTATTGCGGTCCACTCTACAAAATGTTTAATTTCAAATTATCTTTTATAAAATAAAGATGACAAACGAACTCGCAGTCGAGCTAATGGCAAGTGGATACTGTGACCTGTGACTGTGTGTTTATAAATTACGTAATAATATTATTTAAAACGAAGAAGTTTAATTTTATTTAAATGCTACACGTAATGCATAGATTTAATAGGCTGTAACGGTAACGGCAATGCGTAATATGATTATTTTTTAAGTTTTTGGTTATTAAAAATTAATGAATATTAAAATTTTGTAAAAGTTACCTCACGTACATTCGCTCGCGGTGATTGGTCGCATGTTTTATCGCATGACGCAGTTGCTCGCTCCTTAAGTAGGGAGCGGTTACGTCAGCGGTCTATATAAATAGCAGTTGTTTTGGCTCGCCGCTCACTTAGCGGTCAGCCACCGCAAAATCTACATCACCTGAAGATGCCTCGTATAGAGGCGAAACACATGTCGTATTGTCATCAATGGTGTATCTTTCCTAGTGTAGTGGTGTTGGGGGGAGTAGTGGTGCTGGGATAAGTGGTGACGGGGATAGTGCACGCGATTGAGGGAGGGCGGGAGGTGCTCTTTAAACTAGGTAAGACACATCATTTTATTTTATCGAGCGGATGTACGCGAGGTAACTTTTTAAAATTTTTAATATAATGGATTTCCGCAAAGTAACGCCTGATTCTGTTAATTAATTAATTAATTAATGAAAAATTTGTGTATGGGTTGAAATGTACTCGGGGTAAAAAGTCGGAAGAACATATAAAAGTGAATTCTTATTATTCATCCTAGGGTGGATTTTTTAGAGTGGATAAACGGAATAACCCTGTTGAGCCGACACATTTGTCCTACAATTAGAATATAGATGTAGGATGGCTCTACCACGTATAAATCATGAAGGTGTGGGAGACATAATAATGGGAGAAACAGACTGATCCCACGTACGCAACGAATGCGATGCAACGCTCCCACGTTTGGCGTCAGACACTCTTGTCACTTCTTAGCGGTCACACGACTTCAAAGTTATAGCGTGTTTTCTAATTCTGGGAGTAAGTTCGGGGATAATTTGCTTAGTCTGATGTTCATAAACGAATATATCCACGCCATAAAGAAAAATAAAAAAAATAAAAAGCTAAAATATTGAGTACATGGAATAAATAAACAAAGAGAGGAGTTTTTAGAATACCATACATTAGTTAAGGAACTAGAAAATTATGACGAACGATTTTTTCTGTCCTTTCATATGACAAAAGTGCAATTTGAGGACATTCATAACCGTACCACGTATAAGATTGTATACGTGGTAGATCCATGCTGCAGCTATATTAATTGCATAGTTATAGCACGAATGGGTCTGCTCGACCAGGGAAGGACCACACAATCACAGAATACCAGCGTAAAATAGCAGCTTAAAGCCCCTGTGTTTCGTATGGTGAGTGAAGAGAACCAGAGACCCTTTTTAATGGAAAAGAGGCATTCCATCTTAATCCTCACGTGTGACAAAGCATCTGCATTTTAATTCGCAAACGAGGATAGATGTAGATGTCTATGGGTCACAGCAGCAGCCACTTAGCATCAGGTGGACCGTGGACTGTGTGTTCGCGTATCACCGTTATCCTATAAAAAAGAAAATATACATTTACGGAAGTCTATTGCCACCAGAGAAAGACACGCAGTGTGTAAAATTAAAAACTATTTTCTAATAAAATTTAAAGATGTACAGATTTTCGTGTCTCCTGAAAAATTAGGACGCAATGACTTCCCCTTCTTAAATACATATATATACGACTATACTGTAATGGCGCAGAGCAGGATTATGGTTCACAAATATGTTCAGAAGCACGTGTACATTTTTTATTCCCTCACTCCCATAGTTCAGTGGTACATGAATATAGAAAGATCACACTCAGAACCAACAACTTTGTACGTTCTTCTTGAAGCACAGGGGTAAAATACTCCGGGTAGCTACAAAATACTTCGCGTACGTGGTAGAGCCATGCTGCAGCTATATTAATTGTGTAGTAGTAGCACAAATGGGTCGGCTCGACAGGGGAAGGACCACGCTCTCACAGAATACCAACGTAAAATAGCGGCTTAATGCTGATGTGTTTCGTATGGTGAGTGTAGAGAACCGGAGACCCTTTTTACTGGAAATGAGGCATTCCATCTTAGTTCGCACGGGTGACAACGCATGTGCATTTTGATTTGTAATAGAGGATTGATGTAGATTTCTATGGGCCGCAGCAACCACTTACCATCAGGTGGACTGTGTGCTCGTTTGTCACCCTTCTCGTATAAAAAAAGCTACTGAGAATTCGGAAGCAAAAGTGATGTAAATTAAGTTATTCCGGCAATTTCGTTGTTTTTTACGATATCATACACAAGCATATAGTTTATCCAATAATAAGTACATACGTATTGCCTTACTAAATCGATGAGCTGTTCATTTCCCATTTTGGCAACAAAACGCGTGCACGGTGCAAGAGTCTGTTTATGACGTGCAACGCGTAAGTTCTAGGAACACACTAGTCGTACGCGTGGGAATGCGTACGAACATCACCTCCACCTTAACATGCCGATATAGATATCGCAGATCGACGTTGCGTTGGACGCGTGTGATTGCGTTACATACGATAAGTTTGTTTCTAAAGCCGGCGCCAGTTATAGCAACAACATTTGAACACTTATTTGAAGGACTTTGCTTACTTGTTTAAACACTTATTGGCGCAACCTGCCAGACATGCTTTGCAAACACATCTCTCCGCAGTACGTTGATAAACGACAAACAAGATGGATGACAATTTTGTGAATGCAGTGTGCCTGTATTATTTAAGTGCATGTCATTATTTATTACATGTGTATTACAAGTAGTAGTCTGTCATCTTCATCCAAGGGCTTTAACTTTTCAGATAACAACTGACCATACTAATAACATTCATTTGATTTTTTTTTACTGTCTTTATGCTTGGACCTATTTTTAAAATGTACTGCGCACGACCGTCCCGCTGGACAACGCTCTTGCGAATAACTTTGCGCAAGTGTGGTAGGTTACGCAAACATTTGAAAACTGTCGACTTTGAACGCTTTGATGTGTGCTAAAAAACCGAACCGCTTGGCAAAGTGCATTTCTTTGCGCACTTATTTGAACATTGATTCAAAGTTGCGTACGTGGGACCAGTTTGTCTCTACCTATCACTGACCACAGAAAAGTAGGTAAATAATCGAAGCTTAGAAATAATATAATTCTAAACATAGAAGGTTGTTTTTGTATTATAGTTTTTGAATTTCAGGAAATATATTTTTTATAATAATGAGAATGATGAACAATCCGCTTTTTACCCGACTGCCCCAGAACAAGGGTATTATTTTTCGTGTATATAATGTGTGTCTATTTCTTTGGCGCTCTGTAACCTAAACGGCTTGATGGATTTTAACTTTTTTGGCTTAAATAGATGGGATCGTTTGATTCGTTTAGTTGGGAAAGCGACATAGGGTATAATATTTGAAATTTTCTCTCGAGTATTTTATTTACTGTTTTAATCATTGCGCTTTTAAGTAAATATTTTATCATATTTTAAAGCCAATTGAGCAATTGTGCGGGAAAAAGTTTTAGTATAAAAAGGATCACGTGAAATATTACCCTAATGGGTGAAAAAATAGCGATCGGTGTTCCCGTGGATGCATGCGTGCCCACCCACCATTAACCAATAGACCTTATGAAATTTGTAAGCGCCTTCCTCTGTGTTACTAAATCTCTATTTGAAACTCAAGTATTAGATTTAACTGTGTTGCATTTTTGCTTGTATTTAAACCAGTTTGACTTTAATTTTACAATGATATTTGATTTTCTGAAAACCCTAAAGGCAGCGAAATTCCTAAAACATTTGTAAAAGATGTATCAATTAAAGGTAGATCTCATTACAAAGTCCGACCAGTTTTATGTCAATTCACGATAAATTCGTGACACCTTTCAATTTATAATTTTCACATACACTTGTAGAAAATTAAAATATGATATGAATGAATTATTAGAGTTGTCATGGCTGATTTTAACTGAGGAAGAAGAAGTAGAAGATGTTATAATGTACGCACTATCACTGGAGCACTCACTCAACCTGGCTAACACAAGCCCACTCTTAAATTTAGGCTCAAAGACTGCCACACAACACGTTCCTGAGCCAGGACCACCTTCATGGTCTGCATTCATCAAATTCCTGCATGTTCTACCAGGTCATCACTCCATCAACCGTGGGCTGCACTAGCCGATTCGACGTTGCCATTCGTGAACCTTTCTTCTCCATTGTTTGTCGGTTTATCAAGATAATGGGCTCGGCCAATTGCCATTACGGTTTATGGATCCACTAAGCTGTGTCGGTTACTTTGCATTGTAGATTCTAACACGCAGATAATCTCGGTGCACCCACTCCATAACACGCTAAAGGACTTTAACTTCGTCATACGGCTCGTAGTGGAGGACCATGTCTTGATCCATGTGTCATCTCTGACAAAGGTAAGGCCACGTTCAGATGACACGCGCCCGCTACGTGCAAGCCAAGCGCGTCAGCACCCGCGTCTAACTTGAGTCTTATGACACATTAATAAATCTGAAATTCCATTTATCGACGTTCACCGCATACGCCTCGCACGCGCCACGCGCCCGGCTCGTTCCCGCTTCGCGCTGGCCCCCGCGCTCAACCCACACACGCGCTGCACCCGCCCCGCTACGCTTTGCGCCCGCGATTCGGCTAGTGTTGTATTGACTGTGATCAAGTTGAGTGGCTTGGTAGGTTTTTTAATTAAATAATAATGGATAACATCGATAAAGGAACATTTATTTCTTTGGTGGAGGAAAAGAACGTGCTGTGGGACAAAACCCTTGGAAGTTATAAAAATTAAATAAAAACACTTTTTTTATAGAAGAGGAGGCAAACGAGCATGCGGCTCACCTTAAGGTAAGTGACTACCTCTGCCCATGAAAATCTTTACAAGCCTGGCGGTTATACATATAGAATGCAATTATAACTTAGTCGAATCGACTTTGTTGCACACGTGCTGACGTTGTGACATCTGGAAGCCACTAGATCACTGCACTAGTTGTATAAGCGGACGCAAGGCGTGGACTATCTTTGCGCGTGGCGGACGTGGGTGTAAAACGGGCACAACGCGTGTGCAGGTCCTGTGGGCGGTCGGCGCGGGTCATCTGAACATGCCCTAAGGGGATCATTGAAATTAAACATAACATAGGATAGCTAGCACTGTCAGATATAGAGGGAGCAAAATTTAATTGTGTTTTATTAAACATTTGTAGTAGGTAGTTGCGTTATATACAAATTGCACAATACGCGAATCGCAAGTAGAACTCGGGATGAGTTCTATCACTGCAGCACCAATGAATTTTCAGTGCTGATTTCTTTCAATTCAATGTGAAGCAGAACATCGTGAGAAAATCTACATGTCTGAGGAATAAAATATTCTTAAGACATGTGAATTCCGCCAATAGTTACTAGAACTGGGCGTTGGACTCGACCGCACTCTCTGAGAAGAGGTATGTGCTCTACATTGCTTGTTACTTGCCGAGTCCAGTGTGCATTGTTAGACAGTGACAGGAGGTTATTACCATTCCCTGTCCGCTGTGGATGAGGTAGAATGGCGGAGAAAGGGAGTGTTGGTATTACGATGCGCCGCTTTCCCTGCCCTGCGCAGCCTTGCAGCACAAAACTTGGCCGGCAGCGGACCCAGATCTACACTATATCAGATATGCCCCTAGAGACAAGATAGCATTCCTTCCAAGTGCACCATTTCTGTGGCACCATGACCTCTGCGTAACGGATTGGAGTTAGATAATATAAAGTATATAAAAAGAAAGATTATAGTGACTAAGGGAGTAACAGATTGAAGAATGGTCTTCGCCCGAGGAAGGACTGCTAAGCGGGGACCGGTAATGAGGCCGCTAGATACTCGTATGTGCAAAAGCGTTCCTTTGGCCATGCCGTGACGAATAGTGCCAATATGCGATAAGGCTGAAAGATAAGGTTTTGGTCGTAGCGAGTCCAACATAATCCATCGTTGCCCTTGCAAGGCATGCTATGCGAAGATATTTCAAAGTAATAAATACTACGAATCTGAAGTAACAGACCCTGTACTAGGTTGAAAAACTAAATAATATATATTATATAACGCATTACTCAATACACAATCACTAGGAAACCAGACCCAAAAATCAACAATTTGTGTTTTATGAATATATGTTGGTTCCGTCTGGTATTATTCGAACCCAGGACCCGCGATGTAGTGGCTATTTTCACGGACTACAAGGCCTGTGTCATCGTCCAATAGATTAGCACAAATCGTGTGGTAAGTATTTTTTCCCTTACCATTGCATAAAAGGAATCTTAGGTATATTTGCGAAGGCAATACAGTGTACTCGAATCCCTCGTATCTATATCTAATCGAATATTATGGTGCTCTGGAAGCCATTGATATTTTTATGGACGGCGCTACATGACAAGTATTTTTATGTTTATGTTTATTTCGATTTCAGTTTATGAACCACATTCCGAAAGGTGGATCAATATGCCGGAAGGATAGTCTGTCGCGGCTTTTACGATGTATGAGAAGAATTTATGGATCAATTTATGATTTCAGGTAAAAGTTAAGCATTCTTCTTTAAAACTTTTTATAAATTCGTTTCATATTTCAAATTTTTCGTCATAAATCGTCAGAGCCTGCATATAACCATAAAACCATAAGAAAGTTTGTCCCAAATACTATATAAGTTTTAACTTTTTGAACTGTTTAGTGCTGATCCAATGTTATTTAATAAAATATTACAAATGTCATTCAGATAATTATTGTGTTGGGAGTTATAGCGGTCACTTAATACGATCTACAATTTGTAGCTGAGCTGCTAACAAACTTTGTTTTTAGCATTCGTTGGGTAAAACCATATAGGAGTTGTTAAATAACGTTAAATAAAAATTAATACCATTAAAATATATTTATGTATTTTCACGAAGTTGAAAATAAAAGTCCTTTGTCAAAATGTTATTATTTCTCAAAATCGATTACCATTTCATAATAAGGATCCTTTGACCACAGAAGAAACAAAAGAAAAATTTCGAAGAAATCTTCCTCGGATCTATCGGAGAAATTCGAATCGATAATAAGTGACCTAATTTTTTCTCCAAACCCCAACCTAATCTAGACAGTATCCCGTGCTGACTGACGGAAAAGATTCTGGCCACCGAGTGATGGCGAGTGAAAACTACATCTAAAAATACTTTACAGCATTGCCAGTTTTAGGATATCGCCTATGCGCTCAACAAATCAGTGCAATGTGGCAAATCTTCCATAGAATCCCTGCTACATATCACATCCTTGGAGAGAACCGTATCAGTTTTTTTTTAATTATATACGATATAATTTAAAAAAGGCTGGTAATGTGTGTGATTATCACTAATAAAATATTAGAACTCCTAGTTTAGTTTTTTTAACAGACAGATAGATTCTTTGTCATTTTTAACCGACTTCAGAAAAGCACAAATATTTTTTTTTATTGAATAGACTATACCTTGACAATTATTGTATATTATATTATGAATGTACCTAATTTATACCTCGGAAACGGCTTTAACAATTTGGAGGAAATCATGTACTTTGATAATGTTTTTTTACGTCAGAAAAAGCTCGGTACTGCTGAGGTACTAAATAGAGGCCATATTAAAATTTAAGCAAAACAAATTTCCACGCTTAAAGGTGCAAAAGTAGGGGATTTTTTAATCTTACTAAAATACTAGCGATCCGATCCGAGTGATTTCTGTATCTCGACAACAGCGCCACCTACCGGGTCCAATTATGAATCAAAACTATTCTCGAATCAACTTAATGACACACCTAGCAGCCTGGAGTCAGAAAGTGGCGGTGTTTTACTCCTGTGGTCTGAAAAGCACGTGAAACCGTTGATCCTACGCCAGACCTCATACGTTTGTGTTGGATACCTGTCCAATCGGACTATGGAATAAAGAGTACACTGATGCTTGCACACACACTCGTGCACTATAATCATTTCCTGCGCAGATGTTAAGTTTCCGATGAAACTTGCCGCCGTGACCCAATTTCGAATGGTGTGGTGGATATAGAATAGAAAAACTATTGGTTAATCCAATTGTGCATGTCTTAAGCGCATTAAAAACATTACTTATAACATGATTATACACACAAGTTTTCACTAAAAACCTTATAATTATTACTAAACTTCCAAATTTGCGGTAATTTTATGTCAAACTTCAATTTAAAAAAGGCTTGGAAAATCCATAAAAGCACGATTCATAATGCTCATACGATCGTGAAAAAAATGTAAATTTTAGTTCTATTTGTCAAAGAGTTCCGGTAGCAGTCACCGAAGTACACCTTCAAGTCACTCCATCAAGTCAGGAGGTAAGGTCTATTCATAACTAACCAAGCTCGGACAACTAGTTCACCTCGTCGAGGAGTTCCAGTAGCAATCATTAAAGTACACGTTTAGGTCACACTCTCAAGTCCAGAGGTAAGATCTCATCATAACTAACAGAAATAGCCCAAACTCAGCACATCTATTACTACTGGTCGATGAGTTCCAGTCGCAGTCATCGAAGACTACCTTCAGGTCGTTTTATCAAGTCCGGAGGTAAAGTTTTACCATAACTCACAAAACGAGGCCAAACACGGCACATCTTCGAGAAGTTCCAGTAACAGTGGTAGAGCCACGCGGCAGCTTTTGCTGTCGCACGGATGGGCCGGCTCGAACCGGGGTGGTACCACGACCTCACAGAAAACCAGCGTGAAGTAGAGGTTTACCTCTGCGTTTCGCTTGGTGAGTGCAGGTGGCCGGAGGCCCTTTTTACTGGAAATGAGGCATTCCATCTTAGTCCTCACGGGTGACAACGCATCTACATTTTGATTTCTAATAGAGGATAGATGTAGATGTCTATGGGCCGCAGCAACCACTTACCATCAGGTGGACTGTGTGCTCGTTTGTCACCCTTATCCTATAAAAAAAAAAAGTACAATTTCGATAATGAAATATTTAGTTACCTTCTATCAAGTCGGGGGTAAGCTCTTATCATAACTAACAAAACGAGGCCAAACTCGGCAAACTTAGTTCTACTCTTCGAGGAGTTTTTTTTAATACGTGGTAGAGCCATGCTGCAGCTATATTAGTGGTAAAGTTGTGGCACGAATGGGTCGGCTCGACTGGGGAAGGACCACGCTCTCACAGAAAACTAGCGTAAAATATCAGCTTAACGCTGCTGTGTTTTGTATGGTGAGTGTAGAGAACCGGAGACCCTTTTTACTGGCAAAGAGGCATTCCATCTTAGTCCTCTCGGGTGACAACGCATCTGCATCTTGAGTCTTTATTGGGAATAGATGTAGATGTCTATGGGTCGCAGTGGCCACTTACCATCAGGTGGACTGTGTGCTCGTTTGTCACCCTATCCTATAAAAAAAAGTTTCAGTAGCATTCGCCGAAGTACACTTTCAGGTCATTCTATCAAGTCCGAAGGTAAGGTCTCATCATAACTCACAAAACGAGGACAAACTTGGCATATCTAGTTCTACTCTTCGAGGAGTTCCAGTAGCATTTACCGAAGTACACTTTCAGGTCATTCTATCAAGTCCGGAGGTAAGATCTCATCATAACTGACAAAACGAGGCCAAACTCGGTACACCTAGTTCTACTCTTTGAAGAGTTGCAGTAGCGTTCACCGAAGTACACCTTCAGATCACTCACAATCCTTCAGATCACAAGTCCAAGACGTACCATCATCATCATCATTACACCCCTTCACAAGTACACTGCTGAACATAGGCCTCCCCCAAGGAATTCCACAAAGCACCGTCATGAGCCACCTGCATCCATCGACTTCCTGTATGTCTTAGCAGGTCCATCTAGTGGGGGGATGCCCTACACTTCGCCTGCCGGTACGTATAAGTATATTTATATATAAATCCTACGTACTTTTAGAGAAACAAAATATGTAAAAATATAAAAATATGTAATAAAAATCTGTGATTATAAAAACAATAACATTGGTCAAGTATTTATCAAATTTGTTTTTTAGAATCTTTCTGAAAATGTGCTTTTTATATCATTTATATGTTCAATATGGTTGTTAGATACGATTTTTGCGACAAAACGTTAGAATCTTGATTTTTAGGCGATAGTAGAAAATAGAATAGATTAATTTTTAATTCAATATAGATTACATGTGATTCAGAAAAAATATAATAAATAAATGAGCTTTTGTGATTTTTTAAAAAATAAACGTTACCACCACACTAGGATTTTCTCCTAGTATTGTGGAGGCAGTTTACAAACACAAATTGCACAAGAACAAACATCCAGACCCGGAACAATTATTTGTAGGCAATACAAATACTTGTTCCGTGCGGGATTTGACCCTGCGCCCCCCAGCGCAGCAACTCATTGTTAAGCCACTGCGCCACGAAGCCGTCAAATTATATTTGTCATCTTGAAGTAATTGTTTAGTCCACTCCATAGGGTCTAATTTTAACTAAAACCATCTTAGTAATGAGAGGAGTATTTGTAATAATGAGAGGGGTATCCAGCTGTAGGACGTATATTATAGGCTGTACCTTTACTTTTTACTTTTGTACTATGTGATGTGATACGTAAGAAACTTCTCTACTAGAAAAAATATTTAGTTACACGCTTTACAAGAAAGCCAAAATTACTTTGAAAGAAATAAAACTAAAATAGACATTCATTTCGGTAATCAAAAGTTTTAATGAGCGTTTTAGAAAAAAAAACTATTTTGTACCTACGTTCATTCATTCACGAAATGCGTAAAGTTTATTTTCAGCACAATCACTTATTATTGTTCGAGTTTACTGTTTCAGCCCCAATTTCCCTTCCGTCATTATAATAAAATCTACCCGAACTGCTTTAATGTATCTCGAACGCTACAGTGATTAGATTGTAAATAATGATCAAGGATAAAGGAAAGGTTTTCCGTGATATATCCAAATACGATATTTTTATAATTTAAAACATAAATGAACAAAATGCAGTCACGCGAATTCATGAATATGAATAGGGTCGGTAAATTCTAATTGTCTATAAAATGGTTTTTATTTACACAGTTGCATAAATGTGATTTATAAGCCATCGTAAAACTACTGCAGGCTATAATTTCGTAAGAGATAATGCAACGTCATAGATTTTTATTAAATAAAAATTAATATGTTAGCTAAATAACATTGAAATATTTTCACATATCAGCTGAAGTGGCAATGAACCGACTATATGGCTCAAAGAACCGAAAGATGATTTCAGACCACATTGCGCTAAGTTTTCATTATACCTTTTTCATTCCTACATATATGTACATAACGTCACGGCTGTAATCTCCCAGGGAGTAGGCAGAGTTCAAAGAGCAGCGAGCTACTTCGAATACGCTTAGCCTAAAATAATTGGGGCCTATAAGTCCTAGACCAACACGGGATCCCAAATTAACATAACAATTTATATACTCCTAACGGGAATCAAACACATCCTTATTTTGAGCCAAATCGTATAAACAAACTTTCACAGTGAGCAGTACCATGATTCCTGGGGAAAGCACTCTATCCTAGTAAATATTCTT